TGACTTAGCAGGTATCGTAGCAGGTATCTGACAATTTGAAGCGACAACCGAACAAAACTGATCTGAAACACTATCATGAGCCAAAAAAGTAAGCCGAGCTGCAGCGATTGACGTTATCTAACGGTTATCGGTGTTTGCTTCTTGTGAGCAGGATTTAATTATTCAGCAAAGTTGTCTATGTGGCGGTCAGTCGGCTGCATTTGGTGCACACGCGGATCAGACAATTATTCAGCGAAGTTGTCTATGTGGCGGGGAGTCGGCTGCATTTGGTGCACACGCGGATCAGACAAGTAACTGTTTAGTGTCGTACAGCAATTTGGTGATGAAGTGCTTTCTCGAAGAATGCAAATCAATGCATGCTTTCTGTCTTTCGGGGGGTCACATTTTGGGCTCTCCCTAGCTCTGCCCCCTAGATGTCATAGGAACACTGTTCTCTTGATGGCACACCCCAAAGTGCAAAGTAGATGGAGCACTGGGTGAGTAACTGCTCATTTGCATGATGCAGGACCTCCCCCTGAAAACAGGCTGATTTAATTGACACTCATCATACAAGTTTAAAAAAGAAGTTAACCACTGTTTACAGTAAAAAGTTACAAGTCTTATCTTTGCAGATGTGTGTGAATAATCTTTCGAATAACCCTACATAAATAAACACTTCCCTCATGGGCTTTGCCGGTAATAGAATGTGACAAAGAGCGAGCCTGTGTGCCTTTTTAATAAGATGCCAGGTGACATCATTAACTCACATTATGCTCCAAACACCACCAACCAACCAAGACATGCAAGTTTAAACACCATGGACACCTTTTCGCAGCGTTAGCGCCTTGTTTGGCTAATCCCAACGGACTGGTGCCTGTTGCCAAATGAGCGACAGTACATTGGAGCTATAGGCTATGGGTATGGTTTTAAATAAGGACCAGACTGTCATGAACAGTGAAGGTGTGGAGGAACGTATAGCCAGTTGCTTCATTTAGCTGCTCGCAGCACCTTGTCTTGAGGCAGCAGCTTGTTTGTACTGTATGTGTGTGTGCCTGAAAATGGATTTCCGCCCACCCATCCGTCTGTGTGTGTATTTCTTTAACTCTTTATGACGGTCTCCTCAGTTCGTCTCCACATACCTATAGTGAAAAGACACCATACAGCTACAAAACAGTTAACACGTTTGATGTACTACATAAAAGCATATTGCTCGCCACAACGTCCCCTCTCACCTGAGGCTGAACTGGGCTGTGTTTGTTTACGGACTTGATGTGTGGCTAAAGCGCAAGGCAGTTACATTCCTGCCCATTAATACATAGGTTCTGGAACCTGCTACTCTTTTGTACTGTACCGCAAAATCTGAATACAGATGTGCCGTATCAATTGTTCCACACCAAATAACTTGTACGGCAATAATGGGATGCTTTGAAAAGGCAGGCCCAACCTGTTGAGTGGCGTGGAAGTGAGCATAGGAGCATGGACAGATGGTCGGCTATTTACTGGCTTTAGAGTTAGCCAACAAGTGTAGAGTGACGGCATCAGTTGAGGCTGTCGGCAGGCCGGCTTAGAATATGCCGTGTTTACTCTGCTTTGTTACTGTGTGTTTGATAAAGCGATGAAAAACCACCTGTAGCTGTTTTCATCCTCCCTCTATCCTAACCACCTGTTATGGATTACAATTCATTTTAACCAGCGGTAGTAAGCCAGCAATGTTTACTTAACCTTAGGTGTGCAATAGAGTAACTTAAGACAGTTACACTTTGCAAAGGCACATTGCACTTTTAGTCTCTTTTATCCAGTGACAAATTGACTGGCCAGACTTTGGCCCTCTTTTCGTGGCCAGTCGAGCACACAGGCTAACTTAACTGCGCATGGGTGGATTTTCTTTCTTTCTACAATATTTCAGAGGGTTTGATGCATGCTGATGTCATTTTTATGAATGAAATATGATGAAATACACTCCACATGAGTGGAGTGCAGAATCTGTCTGCCTACACATGGATTAAATCCACCAAAATTGCGTTACACAACCTGCGTCACAACTTTTACTTGGTTTCACTTGGTCACAAGTCCAATCTACTTCTTGTGACCACATTGCCAGGTGCGACAGGGCCGAAAGGCCGTCGGCCCACCGAACGCCCAACGAGGCGCACGGCAGTCTGCCAAATTGCCAAACATGGTTTAGTCGATTTGCCCTGGCACCAAAATTAAGATTTTTACGCCAAGCACACATGCACCTGTCTACGAAAATTGGGGGCTCTGTCTTTTGTGCATTCTTTCCACCCGTCTAGTGTCTATTGCTATGTCATTCTGCAATAACAGTGTCGCAGTATAGTTAGACATCACCCTTCATAAATACAACCAAACAATCAGCGATTGCACTGAGCCCGGGAAAAGCGATATAAATGAGGCCTGTAGCTCAAGATGGGTACCAGGGGAAAAAAAAAAAACAAACAAATGAATTTGTCATTAATGAACCACAAATACTGGGGCCTCACAATATATTATTTTTGGAAGTAACATACGTGAATTGCTGTTACGTATCCTGGGAATGCAATAATATGTGTGGCAAACAACAATTGTAATAATGATAAAATGGTAAACACTTCTGTGTAAGTTACTTTTTCAGCGTAAGAACCTCAATTGCCAAACATGGTTTAGTCGATTTGCCCTGGCACCAAAATTAAGATTTTTACGCCAAGCACACATGCACCTGTCTACGAAAATTGGGGGCTCTGTCTTTTGTGCATTCTTTCCACCCGTCTGGCGTCTATTGCTATGTCATTCTGCAGTAACAGTGTCGCAGTATAGTTAGACATCAAACTCCAAAAATACAACCAAACAATCAGCGATTGCACTGAACCCGGGAAAAGTGATATAAGTGAGGCCTGTAGCTCAAGATAGGTACCAGGGGGAAAAAAAAAAACAAAAAAAACAAATGAATTTGTCATTAATGAACCACAAATACTGGGGCCTCACAATATATTATTTTTGGAAGTAACATACGTGAATTGCTGTTACGTATCCTGGGAATGCAATAATATGTTTGGCAAACAACAATTGTAATAATGATAAAATGGTAAACACTTCTGTGTAAGTTACTTTTTCAGCGTAAGAACCTCAACACAACGAGACCCATTTTCAGTCGGCAGGGTTGTTTGTTGACGGCAACGTGAAACCGCCTGGCGCTCGTGTTAGCACCCGCATGGGAGGAAAAAAAACATTAAAACATTGTGCGCGTGAAAAAGCATTTTTGCACATATGTGCTTCTTTTGTCAACCTAATGGCCCATTTGGATTCATTTTACATGGCTCATCTCTCGGTGGATTCACTTCATTTTAAAGTTACACGATCCCACTGAAAGTAAAATGTTCCACTTGATCCTCAGCATTCACATGCTGTTTTTGAGGGATTACCAGTACAGTATACACTTCACGAACACTTACTGCTTGTTTCATAGTCAAGGTTTTCTAAAGCCAGAGCCTTTAAATTTGCCTCAGAGTTGCAGCTTCAAATTAAAATGGCCGACTTTCTATTCAATTTCATGCAACGGTCCTTGGGACATTTTCATGTGTCCTGTTATGGCAGACACGTCTAACAAATTTCATGTGAACTGGTGAAACTGGGGTATTTTTTTCCTTATTTTCACAGAACAATCCTCAAATTGATCATCAAACTCAATAAATTTGTTGGCTTGGTTAAAAAAAAGCTTTTTGTGTTTGAACGTTCCGAGCATCCTTGAAATGATCATTGCATTGTGATGCCACACTAGCACCCCCAACCACTCCACCCCGGGATAGTTTAAGAAAGACATTCTATCGGGGGCACCTGATTGGGGCCATTTCGATCAATTCCCAAGTCTTGAGTTTGTCATGACACGAGTCCTTGCAATTTCCTTGAAATGACTGCTTCGAACCAATATGGCCAATGTCCTTTTTAATTTTGAGTAAGGGTCTTTGAGACGTTTTGGTGTGTCCTGCAATGATTGACATGTCCACCCCAATTTCATGTTAATGGGTGAAAGTGGTGTGCTCTTTTTTCCATTCCAGGGAGAAATAAGGAGTCTTTTTTTTTTTTTTACTGCAGGTGCAGATATGTTCTGAACCCCTAAAATACATGAATATACACCTCACCCAAAAAAGAAAAAAAACTCTCAGTAACTCCCTGGGCCTAACATTGTACAAAATACCATTCATACTGTAAATTTCTGAGAAACATTTTCATGTGTCCCGTTATGACAGACACGTCTAACAAATTTCATGTTAACTGGTGAAACTTGGGTATTTTTTTCCTTATTTTCATAGAACAATCCTCAAATTGATTATCAAACTCAATAAATTTGTTGGCTTGGTTAAAAAAAAAGAAGCTTTTTATGTTTGAACGTTCAGAGCGTCCTTCAAATGATCATTACATTGTGATGCCAAACTAGCACCCTCAACCACTCCACCATAGTTTAAGAAAGACATTCTATCGGGGGCACCTGATTGGGGCCATTTCGATCAATTCCCAAGTCTTGAGTTTGTCATGACACGAGTCCTTGCAATTTCCTTGAAATGACTGCTTCGAACCAATATGGCCAATGTCCTTTTTAATTTTGAGTAAGGGTCTTTGAGACGTTTTGGTGTGTCCTGCGATGATTGACATGTCCACCCAATTTCATGTTAATGGGTGAAACTGGTGTGCCCTTTTTTCCATTCCAGGGAGAAATAAGGAGTCTTTTTTTTCTGCAGGTGCAGGTATGTTCTGAACCCCTAAAATACATGAACATACACCTCGCCCAAAAAAAAAAAAAAAAACTCTCTCAGTAACTCCCTGGGCCTAAATTTGTACAAAATACCATTCATACTGTAAATTTCTGAGTAGCGTCCCTCCAGTGATGATCATTCATGTTGCTATCCGATGTGACACAGCATACGTTGAGAGAATGATGGCACGCATTGCCAGATACTGTGTATGTGCTTGGTGTTTGTGTCCCTAAAGCATCGCTATTGCTAACGGATGTGTCTCTGTTTGCCTTTCAGACTTGTTCAGGGCGGCAGCCGTCACGTTGATGTTCCTCTTCTTCTAAGGTAAGTTTATCTCTGGATAAAAATGCTATGCTGCTGTAACACATGTATTTGTGTTTGGTATTTTTCGGTACAGTACCGAGTTCCCATGTGGAACATCCTGTATTCGGTCAGGAATGGGAAGTGAAATTGTCTTGCACTCTTTCGATGTACTCTGTAAACGAAACAGCCTCTGACAAGCAGATGCAAATATCAAACACCATTTGCGTTATTAGAGCGATGATTGACATGTCCACCCAATTTCATGTTAATGGGTGAAACTGGTGTGCCCTTTTTTCCATTCCAGGGAGAAATAAGGAGTCTTTTTTTTCTGCAGGTGCAGGTATGTTCTGAACCCCTAAAATACATGAACATACACCTCGCCCAAAAAAAAAAAAAAAACTCTCTCAGTAACTCCCTGGGCCTAAATTTGTACAAAATACCATTCATACTGTAAATTTCTGAGTAGCGTCCCTCCAGTGATGATCATTCATGTTGCTATCCGATGTGACACAGCATACGTTGAGAGAATGATGGCACGCATTGCCAGATACTGTGTATGTGCTTGGTGTTTGTGTCCCTAAAGCATCGCTATTGCTAACGGATGTGTCTCTGTTTGCCTTTCAGACTTGTTCAGGGCGGCAGCCGTCACGTTGATGTTCCTCTTCTTCTAAGGTAAGTTTATCTCTGGATAAAAATGCTATGCTGCTGTAACACATGTATTTGTGTTTGGTATTTTTCGGTACAGTACCGAGTTCCCATGTGGAACATCCTGTATTCGGTCAGGAATGGATGCAAATATCAAACACCATTTGCGTTATTAGAGCTAAATTGTCACAGTCCCGATTTTAACTGTTGCACTTTTCCCTGTTGTGAATCCCCCCCTTCCTCCCAAAAAAAACCTGCAGGTGCAGGTATGTTCTGAACCCCTAAAATACATGAACATACACCTCGCCCAAAAAAAAAAAAAAAACTCTCTCAGTAACTCCCTGGGCCTAAATTTGTACAAAATACCATTCATACTGTAAATTTCTGAGTAGCGTCCCTCCAGTGATGATCATTCATGTTGCTATCCGATGTGACACAGCATACATTGAGAGAATGATGGCACGCATTGCCAGATACTGTGTATGTGCTTGGTGTTTGTGTCCCTAAAGCATCGCTATTGCTAACGGATGTGTCTCTGTTTGCCTTTCAGACTTGTTCAGGGCGGCAGCCGTCACGTTGATGTTCCTCTTCTTCTAAGGTAAGTTTATCTCTGGATAAAAATGCTATGCTGCTGTAACACATGTATTTGTGTTTGGTATTTTTCGGTACAGTACCGAGTTCCCATGTGGAACATCCTGTATTCGGTCAGGAATGGATGCAAATATCAAACACCATTTGCGTTATTAGAGCTAAATTGTCACAGTCCCGATTTTAACTGTTGCACTTTTCCCTGTTGTGAATCCCCCCCTTCCTCCCAAAAAAAAACAAAACTTCCTTTGAAACACCTGGGATTAAAGATTGAAATATTTAACAATCACGTCAAATGTGTATGACTAATATTCAGGAAAACATATTTCTCCTCAAGTTTGAATTTATCACAATACTTCCATAAAAGGCGGCCCAGTGGCTCCAGTGGGTAGCGCGTCGACCTCACAGTGTAATTCCAGCTCTGGCCTCCCTGTTTGGAGTTTGCATGTTCTCCCGGGCCTGCATGGGTTCTCTCCGGGTACCCCGGGTTCCTCCCACATTCCAAAAAACATGCATGGCAGGCTGATTGAACACTCTAAATTGTCCCTAGGTGTGAGCGTGAGCGCGGATGGTTGTTCGTCTCTATGTGCCCTGCGATTGGCTGGCAACCGGTTCAGGGTGTCCCCCACCGAGTGCCCGAAGACGGATGGGATAGGCTCCAGCACCCCCCGTGAGGATAAGCGGATAGGAAAATGGATGGATGGATGGACTTACATCAAAGTTCAAAATAATTTGGGTAGGTGGACATTTTTGGCAATGGTACAGGTATTCAAACATAGAAATCAGAGGAGAAAAACAAAACAAAAAAATAACACCATTACAAATTCAATTCCGATGAAGTTAAGACATCGTGTTAAACATTTTTCAGAAAAAATCTGAAGTTCTAAATTAAATGACAGCATTTTTCAACAACAACAAAAAAAAATTCAACATTTTTGCACAAATACATCGCTTTGTGTGCTCTTTACTTATGGACTGAAAAAGTGTGTTTGGAGGTGTACACCAGAAGCTGACAGGAACTTTGCTTAACCAGGCTATGCTTTTCATCTTCAACTCAAAACGTGTCTCTCTCTCTCTCTCTCTCTCTCTCTCTCTCTCTCTCTCTCTCTCACACACACACACACACACACACACACACACACACACACACACACACACCTTTCACGTATCTACACGAAGCTGCAGGTGCGATGGCGACGGCAGCCTTTGTGGGTGGCTCTTCAAAATAGACCAGCAAAACACCCTGTTCTTTTTCACACATTTGTCTTATGCGAATCAGTCGCAGAGCGTTTAGCGTCGCCATAAACAACATTATTTTTGGGCTGCTCATCATTACTTTACATTGCTCTGCAGCGTTGCCATGGCAGAATCGCCTCGATAACGATGACGCCAATTAGTGTCACTTTCTTAAAAATTGCTGTAGCTGTGCACCGGTTGCTTGGATATTGGTCAAGGGTAAAAACAAAGCTGTTTATCTACACCATAAATAACATTTGCTATTGTTGGCAATAAGTGAACGTGGCTAACATGTAATTTCAAAACGCAACCCTCTGTCATTGAATGGTATAACAAAGAGTCAGAAATGCATGTTTAAAATGCACGAAGAACTTATGAAGCTATATTTACAGTATTTATGTATAGCTTCATGGAAAGTCAATTTAGTGAAACCTCGGAAACGAGATGCTTTTCGCCATTGGTAAATTACATCAGTGTTTTTCAATCTTTTTCGAGCCAAGGCACATTCCTTTCATTGAAAAAATCCTGCGGCACACCACTGCCTGAAAATGTGAAAAAAATCTTATTTTAACAATTGTTATATTGTTACTATAAGCATTTTTTTTACATTGAAAATTAACGCATTCTAACACATTGAATAGGAATCAAATCAACATCAATCCAATATTTGGTGCATTCGTTTTAATTTTAAAAGCTTACAGCTTAAGCTTTGCTGCATATTTTGCAGAGCAGACCTTTCTCACTCGAAAAAGAAAATATTTCACCCAGTTTCACTGCATGTTCTTCTATTTGCACATACTCTGGCAGCCATTCCAACTTAAAAGAACCGCAGTTCATTCTTATTTTGGTTTGGGGAGTTGACGTATCACGTTCACTGCCCGGTTGTTTCGCCATGATAAAGGATTAGCATTAGCGTCGCTTATCACCACTGCACTGTTATTGTTATGGAGCAGAGAATATGCACAAGTACAGTCAATGCCGTGATTGGCTACATTGTGTCATTGCATCGTATCATGTGATTGGCTGGACACCTTTCTCTCACTGAATTACACAGCAAACTGATACAGAAAAAACGTTTTATATCTAATTCATTTGAAGTGCGTTCACTGCGCTGGATAGGTTTTCTTATGCGCTGAGAGTGTGCGACCAGTGCGCAGTTGCACAGCTTTGAGGGAACAAGTAAACGTAAATCTAAATGAAAAGATACCTTTCATTGTATTGCCTCGCGTCGGAAACTTCGCTTGTCTCGAAGCATAAGGCAATTTCCTAGCTGCTGCTGCTCCCTACCAGTATGGAAGAGTACTACATGATTCCTCTTCCAGGCGATAGACCGAACAGGCATACTATATTACAATATTGTATAATTTCCCACGGCACACCTGGTGTGCCGCGGCACAGGGTTTGAAAAACACTGAATTCCATGATTTAAAAAATAAAAACATCCTTAAATATGTTGGGCGGGGGGGAAATCATAAAATTACGCTACTAATATACCTGGAAATATCATATAAAGAGCGTAGAGCAAAAACTAACTTTTTATTTTAACTTTTATTTAATTTTCACTTTTCTAATTGCCCATTTGAGCTTGGGCTAGTCTAATTTGAAATCAGTCAATTTCTAGACCGAAAACTCCAAACCCATTTCTCCAGTATTTTTTTTTTTTTTTTGCATTAGTCAATCGCTTATAATAATTTAAAAATTGAAACCATTTTCCACTCTCTTTGTCAATGTGTTTTTGCAAGTGTAAATTTACGACTTCAATCATGAACAATCTCATTTTGTAGCACTGCACTCTCCTCGAGCTACAAAGGTTTGATACCACCCTCCGATAATGGCAGCCCGAGGACACAATTCCAAAAGCCTCTTTTTAAGACGTTCTGTTCTTGTCACCCTACATACCAAAAGCAACATGAAACATGTAGGTTGGTGTTGCCTAATAGGCTCAGTGAGTGGTGTTATTTAAAAATGTCTGTGTTAATTACCAACTACCTTTCCTTACATCTTGGACCGTGTACCAAAGGTGTTTGATCCATTTTTTATCGGGGAAAGTCGACAGAATCAATCACAGAAACGGCGAATATGCTGCCTGAGGTTTACGAGATGCTAGTAAAAGCTGATGGCTGTGGGGGAGAAAGCCCCAATGTGTGCGCTCGTTGATGGTGTACCAGCCTGCAGTTACTGGCACCAAGATATATTTCTACAGTAAATTTCCAGACGGCTTGTGAGCCTTCAATGTTGTCTCGGGATGGAAAAACACATCTCTCGCTTTTGGGGGTGGGCTGAGAAGGTATGTGGGGGAGTAACAGCAGTTCTGCCGTCGTCAAGATGCTCAGTTGGGAGTTTGAGGTGAAAGCTTGTTCATCACACATGTTCCTGCCGCGTTCCATCCCCCCAAAAAATTGTTTTATGTTGAGAGGGAAGAAATTTCATCTGTGCTGTACACATACAGCACATTTGACAATAAAGTTGTATCCAATCCAATCCAAAAACAGAAGCATGAAAAAAAATGTACCGTACTTGTAAAGCTGTACCATAAACGGCACAAAAAAAGA